TGAGTTACATAAATATGTAACACATATTTAATTTAGATTTGTGTAATGTTAATCTTACTAAAATATTAAATTTTTATAAAAATCTTAATTTAGACTAATTCCAAAAATCAGCACATATGTATGGAATATAGAGATATTGATATATTAAATGCAGACTTTATAAGAAAATTTCAAGAATATAAAAATGAATCAGAAAAGAGGACCCCAGATATCTAATATAAAGGTCATAATGGACTTTTCATATCTGCCGATTTACGGAATGGAGAGTTGTACCACTCAGATGGTCAGGTGGTAGTATGACGATCATTATACGTTCCCACTTATACAAATCATAATAATATTTACATGTGTATAAACTGTATAAACGCGATATATTTAAATATTACACAAACAATAAAGCGAAATGATGTCATATTTGATTATCTAATTTATCTAATACTAATCTTTTTAACAATAAAATAATGCCTGGAAATACAAGTGATCAAGAAAATGTTGAAAACGAAATTCAAGTCGAAGAAGATTCCACATATCCACTTGACAGCAATATTTTATATCGTAAACGCATAAATAACATTACTAAACGTAGTTTTAATTACAATATTATAAAAGAAGGAGTTTACCCTAACGGAATGGAGTCAAAGAGCAAAAAAACAAATAATACTTCCAGAAAAAAATCATACAAAATTCCACATGGTTATGTTGTAGAAACAACTTGGGGTCGGGTGCTAAGAAACGAACTGTTTGTTGTGAAATTGATTATATTAATACAACACCTCAATTTCATATCAAATATGGCGCTAATTTTTAACACGTCATTTCTTCAACTAAATTTACAACTTATACGGCAATTAAATATGAGCAAGTAAGTTTTTATTAAATGGAATATTTTTAATTATTTTATTATTATATTAGAATATATGAATTCCACACCTAATTAAACTATTTGCTTTAGTCATTAAAACTGGAAACTAAAGCTAAAATTTCAGGTCCTTTATTGTTTGGATTACAGTTAGATAGCGTACGAAAAGCACGTGAAACAAGAAAGAGAGGGAATTTAATTAAACCAGCTATTGACTGTATTCCATTAACACTTGAAAAGTGTGCCAAGAAAATCACAACAAGAATACAATTTAACTTCAAGAATGATGTCAAAGGAGTTTATCATCAATCTGATCAAGTTATATTGAAAAATGTTGAATTTTCTGTTAATGAAATGAATTATTTTCAAGTAAATTATGGATCTGAAAGTGAGATCAATAAAACCTACAAATTTCATTCTGTAGTAAAAGCAGTTGATCAAGGTCAAATACCTAGAGATTCTTATCGAGAGCTAGCAGCTGTGGAGGCTCATTTACCACGTGAAAATTCTGTTTCTAATGAACGTATTGCAATCACTAATTCCATGAACCAACTAGTTAAAGTATTATTAATTGATATGAATGGAAAAGATAAATCAAAAGAAACTTTTGAATTTAATGATGAATCAGAATTTACAAATCCAGAAATTACTCAAGAAGTTATTGACACAATGGGCGTGGGTGTTTACCAAAGTGTAAAAGATATTCTTTATTATATTATTCCTTATCTAAAAGAAAAAAAGTATTGAAATCATTAGATCCCACTATACATCTACGTGTATCTGGTGATGGGCATAATGTGGGACATAAAATAAAGCATGTTATGATAACATTTATGATCTTAAATCACATGAAAATTATCATACACTTGAGTTTATATTAAACCCTTTTCTTAATGAATTAAAGTCATTAAAGAACAATGGACTGGAAATGGCAGGAATTTTGTGGAAATTTAGCATTATAGTTTTGTAAAGCAAGTCAAATTATACTCAATCTGAGCTTTTGAGTTTGTTCTGATAAATATATTAAGTTTATTATTAACAATCAGTCACCAATCGGTCACCAATCTGATATAAGCGATTGGTGACCGATTGGTTATTGATTGGTTTGCAATTCAGGATTTTTATTTATTACTTTAATATGTAAAATGAAAGAAAATCAGCTACCAAATGAATAGCTAATTAGTGACCGATTGGCTTTAAAAAAACATTCATTTAATAAAGACAAATAGCATTCCAATTTACAAATTTTTTATTTCCAGGTTGTATAATTTGTCTGGCAACTTAAAAAAAAGAAAAAGAGAAACATTAAAACGTTTCTCTTAAAAAAAATTATGTTATCCCTCCCCTCCTTCACTTACATAATTCTAAAGTCCGGTTTGTAGTTTTCGTCTAGCAACCTGAAAAAAAAAGGAAAGAAACATTTAATAACGTTTCTTAAAGAATTAATAAAAAAACCCACTCTCCAACCCTCTTTTTACCTAAATTCCAAAGTCCGATTCGTAGTTTCGTCTGGCAACCTAAAAAAAGAGAAGAAAGAAGTATTTAGTAACGCTTCTTAAAGAATATAATAAAAAAATCAACTTCCCAACCCTCCTTTTTTATCTAAATTCCAAAGTCCAGTTCGTATTATTCACTCAGCAACCTAAAAAAAAAGAAAAATAGAAGCGTTAGAACGTTTCTCTTAAAAAAATTGTTATCCCTCCCCTCCTTCACTTACATAATTCCAAAGTCCAGTTCATAGTTTTTATCCGGCAACCTGAAAAAAAGAGGAAAGAAACGTTATATAACGTTTCTTAAAGAATTAATAAAAAACCTCTGACCTTCTTTTTACCTAAATTCTAAAATCTGGTTCGTAGTTTTCATCCGGTAACCTAAAAAAAGAGAAGAAGCATTTAGTAACGTTTCTTAAAGAATATAATGAAAAAAATACACTTTCCAACTTCCTTTTTTACCTAAATTCCAAAGTCCGGTTCGTATTATTCGTTTGGCAACCTAAAAAAAAAGAAAAAGAGAAGCGTTAGTAACGTTTCTCAAAAAAATAAAATATAATCCTCCTTCCACTTACATAACCTAAAAATCTGGTCATAGTTTTCATCCAGCAACCTGAAAAAAAAGGAAACATTTGATCCAGCGGCTTTTTTTATAATAGATAATCTACAGATTATCAAACTATATGTATGTCATATGACTTCAGCGCTGCTATAAAATCAGATCATTTATTTCGTTGATACACAGTAAAAAAAAAAAATATATATATATATATATTTTATTTTTTTTTGTAGGTCCTATTTTTTGTAGAACGCTGGACCCTTGGAGACCAGAATAAACCGTCAAACCATACCTACATAATAAAGGTAATGTGGGAGAAGGGGTTATGTGTTTTGTAATTAAGAAACGTTTTTAATGTTTCTTTCTTTTTTTTTTGTAGAACTAGGACGTCGGACTCTTGGAAACGAATCTGGACTTGGAATGTAAGGAATATGGGAAGGGGGAGTGGTGTTTTGTAATTTAAGGTAAAATTGTTTATAATTCCGAACTTGTATAATATTTAGTTAGATTTTTTCAATAACGGGTTTAATAACATGTTTTAAAATATTTTTTTTTATACAGTTTTTAAAACTCTTTAAACTCCATATGGGAAGAGTTCATATGGGATATCTAATAGAAAATTTTTTTTAAGAGATTTTCTAAAAGTTTATATGGAAAGGGTCCATATGGGATATCTGATAGAAAAATTTTTTTTTGATAAACAGATAGAGATTTTTTTTTTTTGAGATTTCTAAAAGTTCGTATGGGAAGAGTTCATATGGAATATTTTGATATAGATTTTCTAAGAGTTCGTATGGAAAGGTTCGTATGGAATATTTTAATAGAGATTTTTTTTGTGAAATTTTTTAAGAGTTCATATGGGAAGGGTTTGTATAAGATATTTTTTGATAGAAAATTTTTTTTAAAAGATTTCCTAAGATTTGTATAGGATATTTTTGATAAATAGAGATTTTTTTTTGAGATTTCTAAATTTCGTATGGAAAGAGTTCATATGGGATATTTTGATAAAGATTTTCTAAGAGTTCGTATGAAAGGGTTTGTATGGGATATTTTAATAGAGATTTTTTTTGTGAAATTTTTTAAGAGTTCATATGGGAAGGGTTTGTATGAGATATTTTTTGATAGAAAATTTTTTTTAAGAGATTTCCTAAGATTCATATAGGATATTTTTGATAAATAAAGATTTTTTTTTGAGATTTCTAAATTTCATATGAGAAGAGTTTATATGGGATATCTGATAGAAAAATTTTTTTTTGATAGAATAAATAGAAATTTTTTTTTTT